CCTTGTAAGTCACCATTTTCGACAGTTCTTCAGCTGCTGTTGAGCTTCCTCTCCGTACGGCTGAGGTGAAGACGAAACTCCTTCGGCTTTCTCGCCCGTTTGGGATCCTCCTCCCATTTATGAGGCACAAGAGGATATTGGTCTCGACGATCTACCTTAATTGTAACATCCCTTTCTTGCTTATAATTAATTGTAACGTCTTGCACATCTATTTAATCTTGCTTAATGGGAACATCTTGCAAATCCAATTTTTTTTTTTTTTATTCACCGTATATTAATTTGAAGAACAGAGTAGGTATAGTATAGTATTGTTTTGTTTTATGCATCACACGGGCACTTTACTAGTTTTAAATATGCTAACTAAAATATTCGATCAATAGTTAAATTTCCGATTACCCGATAGATGAGTAAAAGACTAGGAAACTTTAAATGTCTCACCTAGACCTTTGCAATTAAGTTAACTAAATTGGTCTTCTTTGATGTATTATGGATATTGCCGGAGAAGTAAACCATTTAGAGATTTAATTTTATAGTTTGATAATTTTAGTTTATAAATATGTGTAGACATCGAAATTTTAATATTTTATTAATTAATGTCTTTATTTATTTTTGGACATAAATCCAAGATAAATAAGATATTAATTAATAAAGTAATTATTTCTTGCCCACCAAGTCAAATCTTAGGATAAGGACAAAGATTATATCAAATCTTAGGAGAATGAAAGAGATTATGTCAAATCATGAAGGACCAATCAAATTGAAGTCTTCTTCTCCAAGACTCTCTCTCCTACACCTATAAATAGGGCTTTTCTCAATCCCACAAATCACACCTCGAACACCTCACACACATCAAATACCTCAAACACCATAAACACCTCAAAAATATCAAACACATCTCAAAGATTAAAGTCTCAAATTCAAGAGCTCTCAAGAATCCTCTTGAAGATTTGAAGAAGTTCTTGAAGAACCGTCCGAGGTCCGTTCAATGAAGAAGAAGGCCAAGAAGAAGAAAAAGAGGCGACTTCTCTTCCCCAAGAAGTAAAGAGACGACTTTCACTCCTCTCAAATCATTCAAGAACATCAATGACGTTCAAGCAACATTCAAGTTGCGTTCGTTGAGAAGTTCAACCAACATAGCGTTTGATTCGAGAAAAAACTATCAAGCCCTCGAGTCAACGTTATTCAAGTCAATGTCCATCTTTCAAGAAGATCAAAGAATCAAGTCCTCCAAGAAGGCTTCTTCAATCAAGTCAAGGCCTAACATTTAATACGGGAATAAGTCATTCGACCCCCAAATTAATGTTAGAGAAATTCAAGACTAAGCCCGACGGAGATTCAATCATCAAATCCATCTTTCAAGGTCTCAATCCCAAATTCATGAAGAGAAGAATCAGAGGATATAAATAAAGATTGTATCCGCATATCGTTTGATCGAAATATAATCAAGTTGTACAAAAGTTTTATTTCTTTCATAAAATTTGCTGTTACAAATTTGGCACGCCCGGTGGGACCATTTATACCTCTAATCTCTTCACTTCAAATAAAGTTCGATGATCTTTGAAGATGTATGAAAACCCTTTGAAGAAAATTTACATGGGGGCAATGAAGAATGATCTCTTCCCAAGCTATGAAGCATGGGGGCAATTCACATAAAGAGCTCCATCAAATATTCAAATGCTCCTTGATATGAGCCTAAACTATGTACATATTCCAATGCTATATGATACGAGCCTAAACTATCTACATATTCAAATGCTCCTTGATACGAGCCTAAACTATCTAAATATTTCAATGCTCCTTGATATGAGCCTAAACTATCTATAAAGCTCCTCGATATGAGCATAAACTATCTATAAAGCTCCTCGATATGAGCCAAAACTATCCAAATATCCAAATCAAATGCTCCTTGATATGAGCCTAAACTATCTACATATTAATGCTCCTTGATATGAGCTTAAACTATCTACATATGCTCCTTGATATGAGCCTAAACTATTTTATGGCTCCTTGATACGAGCATAAAATATCTATATATCAAGATCCCTTTGACACGAGAATAAAGGTCTACATATCAAACTTGAAGGCTCCTTGATACGAGTATAAAATGTCTACAAATTTGAAGACTCCTTGATACGAGTAT